TTGTTCAAGTCTTCCTGGATTGCATTTATGAACACCATGCAGTTGTTGGCAAAATGGCTCCACAAGTTGTGCCACTTGCAATATGTCTTCCATTTGAGCTCTACGGCTAAGGGAATTTTATGACCATAAGACAGCTTGATGATGTCGTCTACCAACAAGTGGTCAAAAATTTGACCACCCTTCAAAATGTCAAACTCATATTTTCAACTAGTGTCATAAAATTCTTTCTCAGCACTATGTGAGGTCTGTGTATGGCCTTGCTCTTTCGAAATCCTGGCAAATGCATTACATACATATGGCCGCCTAGCCACGATCTTCACTACATTCACCTCCACGCCCTAGTTTGCCTTGACCATGAGCACTTCCTTGTTGGGGTCACAATTGTAAGTCTCCTTTGAGGCATTTTTGTGGCCCAGCTCTCTTGTAAGATTTTCTCATTGTGAGTTGCTCGAAATGAAATGAAAAATGTATTGTTAAATCATCTCACCAGTCATCTGATATAACCTAGCCAGGTCAGTCATAGCTACTTCTAGCTCCAGTCGATAAAATTAGGCGTGGAACTTGTCTTCCAGTTACTATCAGCTTAACACCGAGTTAGGTGACAAGTCGATGTATGATCAGAATGTAGTCCCCATCAAGCAGTTTGCAAACGACCTCAAATTCAAAAACTCATTCGCACCCACCTCACCACATTGCACGATTAAGCAGCAAATATGCTCAATGATCGATTAACAGTCTTCTCCCGAAAATGTGGGAAAAGAGATAACCTAGTAGCCACATGTATACTTGTGCTCTCTATCCACCCAGTCAGGATATGGTTTCCAGTATGTTGACCGGTAACTCACCTTATGGTAAGGCGACGTGTTCCTGGATAATCTCGTCCAGTTGATCTCTATTCATAATCATCTATTATGCCACTAGAATTGTTTATTAGTGAATGCCATCTTTGCCCCTACCTCAAGAATGGGAAGCATATCCTCTTGAAAAATGAGATTATTGTTTCTCCATGGGTCATTTTGGGCCTGTTGTGCCCTTAGCACCGTATATATGGAAGAGGCACTTGTTGTGGCTCCATGGGTACAACTATTGGAAGTGGCTGCTACTGCCTTGCTACTTCTTGTCTATTCAAGGTCTCGAATAGCCACTCCAGTGCTTGTCTGGTGTGGCAAAATCCTGCTCTTATCAAGTTTCCCAGGTCATCGATTAATGCCGATACTTGCTAGGAAACCTCCTCTGATCAAAGCCTCGTCTCTGAGTCAAATTCTCGATTTTCTTGTCCCCCCCCCAGGGTGAAGGCAATTCCTCTTGTAGGTTGGAAATATCAAACCTACCTTATTCAATTATCTCATGCCCTAGAGGCACATCTGCTAAGCCAACTTTGGATTTTTCCTTAGTATGCGTCATGCTATTGCAATGGGTCCCACTAGACGTGTCAAAAAATGTATGGCAAATTTTGAATTGCAGGCAGATTTTGAATTGTAGGCGTATCAAAGTCCGAGTGGACTTAAGAATTACAAACACTTATGATCTTACATACTTGAACTAGCGTGAGGTTCTAAAATTATGATTGTTCAGGTGATTAAAACAAGATGTAACGCTACCTCTAGATTCTTTCATATGCTTTAGAGATTAAAGACTTAAACTATTCCCTCTACGAGCAAACTAACAAACTAAGAGTTGGAACTAAACTAGAATTGGAATGAGCAGTAAAGTAAACAACAAAGAAGAATCTTTGCATTAACTAGTGTATTTGGAATTGAATGGGAAAAGGTCACTAGAGTGACGACAAAAGAATTATAGAGTAAAATAAAAAGCATAAACTTAAAACAGTACAGAGGAAGGCTCTGGTATGTTGTTTGTGTGCGTGTGTTGATTGAGGGATCCTCTTTTGTTTCTTGTACCTCTATATTTATAGGTGGTGGCTTCTAACCATTGTAGCCATCTTTTCTAGCCACTAAACTAGCATTTGTTGCCGTTCTCTTCAATGGCTAAAACGTGCGTCAAAATCGGCTGCAACCGATGGCTCCATGATGTCACATTTTCCATGCCTCTTTGCATTCCGAGATCTTTGGAGATCGTTTCTCATAATCGTCTTATCTCACCTGGACCTTCTTTGACTCAATTCTAGCCGTTGAATTTTGTCACGTGTCATTCTCAAATTTTTTAATAATTAGGAGTAACAAGGAACATAGCTTATTATGGCCAAATTGTGGCAACTCCACCTAAATCAAGAGATCATGACTGCACCAAGACCTAATCCTTACCACTATGTTCGTCCATACATACCACAACGTTTTTTGAGGACTATTGGACTTTATCTATTAATGCATATGACCATACTCATCCCATTGGAGAGAAGTTCTAAAGCTCTACTTGGCCACTGCTATTATTCTCCATTCATTTCTAATGTGCCACCTTGGTGACTATAAGAGAGATGTAGGAGCTTGGGGTCGTTATGCTACCAACTTGAATTACATAGAGACAAAATGGCATATAATTTTACATAATTCAAAGTTTGTCGCTTTGAGTTAAATTCATCGGACGCCACTAAAAAGTTCTACTATACCTAACAGGATTTTAATTAGCTAATATTATTTATTAAAAATTATGTTCATTGGGGGCTCTCATAAGTCATTTTCAATGCAGCTATTGCTCTCACTAGATTGTAATGAACCCTTTTTAGTATTGGAACGATGGACCTAATTCAATATAGTATTCGGATTACATGTGAATTTAAAAGTTAAATAAAATTCAATTTCAATTTAATGACAGTATTAAATTAGGTCACTAAATTAAATTTAATAATAAATTAAGAATAACAATATGGGGCCCAAAGAATTAATTTAATTTGTTGACTCATTGACATTGTCAAATAAAATTATTGTCACTATAACTATTGAATTTCTTTGTTATGACTCTATAACTTAAGTCGAATAGTATTACTCAAAAATTAATCCAATTAATTAGCTATATATAAACAGAAAAAATTAAAAATTTATCCCCATCAAATTAAAAAGTGAAAGGACAACCAAACCCCTATGTTTCATACATGGACAATGTTGCATAGACCTTATTTGTTAGGGCAAATTGCACCAATAGTTCCTGAGGTTTGCCACTTGTTTCACTTTCGTCTTTAAAATTCTAATTTTTTCAATTTCATCCCCAATGTTTATACATTGACTTACTTAGTCCTTACCACTAACTTCCGTCCAAAAAACTAACGGAAAATGTCATGTGCCAAGCACATGAGCGTATTAGGGGACATTTTTGGTATTTTACAACTATTTATACATCCAAACCCAATTATCTTTGGACCTAAACCCCCATCTTCTTCTTCCTTTCTCTTCTCTCTCCTCACACACGCGTAAATTCTTTTGAGTTCTCTCTTCCTCACACATAAACATCTCTCTCTCTCTCTCTCTCTCTCTCTCTCTCTCTCTCTCTCTCTCTCTCTCTCTCTCTATTTACTATGTCTCCACCCCCAAAACTCAACATATTCATTGCTCTCGTCTCCACCACCACACCTAGCGCATCTCTTTCTCTACTCTCTACTCTCATTGTTGCGTCTCCACCCCCAAACCCAACACATCTCCCTCTCTCGTCTTTCGTCTCTTTTTAACTGTATCTCCACCCCAAACCCAACACATTTCCCTCGTCGCTCTCTCTTCTCTCGTTACTGCATCTCTATCCTCAAACCCAACACAAAATACACATCCATAACACAAACCCACAAATACACATCCATAACACAAAATTCACAGTCACATACACCCACATGGATTTAGAACTGGATTTTCCAAGACCTCCATGGGCAATCAACCCCAATTCTTTCGAAATCAAGTTTGAATTCAAAATTGAAATCAAAACCAAAAATGAAATAAAAATCAAAGACATTTTTAGGGGCGAAGTGATTGATAATGGGTTAGGGGTAAAATAAAGAAAACTCTTTAAGGGGGAGCCTACTCAGGTGGGTTGATAGAGGTGGTGTCAGGCGTATGAGTTTTGCAATGGTTGTTTAGGTTAGTGTGTGTACTATATTTGTGTGTTAGGCTTTGAAAATGTAAGAGGACAAAGAAAGAGAAGACCAAATAGAGAGAGAAGATGGATTCCAATAATGGAGATTGATTCCAAAGTCGATTACAGCGGTTGTGGGTGGTGGCGGTCAATTCTAGCCGTGGTGGATGGTGGCGGTCGATTCTAGTGATGGAGTCTTGCACACACACACACACGCACAGAGAGAAATGGGGTGGTCACTGGTAGGAGAGAGAGAGAGAGAGAGAGGGCAATATTTTTTTCTCTTTTTGTGAGACTATTTTATTTTCTCATTTATGCCAAACTTTTTGAGAGTATAATGACAAAAATATCCCTTAATACTCTCATGTGCTTGACACATGACATTTTTCGTTAATTTTTTGGACGTAAGTTAGGAATAAGCACTAAAGTAAATCACTGTATAAACATTGAAGACGAAATGGAAGAAATTAGAAATTTAGGGACAAAAGTACAATAAGTGATAAACCTCAGAGACCACTAATGTAATTTATCATATTTATTAATTTTATTACTCTCTATCATTAAATTAACATTGACTAATTCATGATAGACTCCACTACTAATTAAAATTTATCATCAATTTAATAACTATAATTTATCATATCGTCAAATAAGTTTACTAAATTAGGTATGACATTTTCCTTCGTACATATCACACCAATCTTCTTCTTTTTTGTTCAACAGGAACGTACCACACAAATCAACAAAGCCACTTCTGTGACTTCTCTCTCGTCTATAAGCATCCCCACCCAACCCCTCTCCAAAACCCCAAAAAGGAAAAAAAAACAGTAGCTCTCTGTATTCCTAAGCAACAAACATTATAACCCTTCATAATTCTCCCATTTACCTCCTCTGATGCTAAAACAATGTCTGAACCTCCAAAGCCTATCGCTTCCTCGGCAACAACCAAGATAGATCCCCACCACCACCACCACCACCACTCATCCATGTTTCAACCCCTGCATTTGCCTCTCCTCCACGGGGTCACCACCACCACTGCCACCACCTCAACCTCACACCTCAGAGAATACCGCAAAGGCAACTGGACCATAGAAGAGACGCTAGTCCTCATCACCGCCAAAAAACTCGACGACGAACGCCGAACCAAACCCAGCTCCGCCACATACGACCCTACTCCGTCCTGTGGCCGACCCTCCGGCGAGCTCCGGTGGAAGTGGATTGAGAACTATTGCTGGAACAATGGATGTTTTCGGAGCCAGAACCAGTGCAATGATAAGTGGGATAATCTTCTCCGAGACTACAAGAAGGTTCTCGACTACGAGCTCCAATCATCACAATCACAATTGGACGGTTCTGATCTTCTGCAATCTTACTGGATCATTGACAAACAAGAACGAAAGAATCGGAATTTGCCCAGCAACATGGCTTTTCAAGTCTATCAATCACTTAAAGAAGTAGTTCAAAAGAAAAACCCACAAAGACCTATTACTCTCCAAGAAGCTACGGTAACTCCTCGTGTGGTACAGCCAGCACCACCACCAGAAGCTCCGCCTTCTGCGGTGGCTCAACCGGCAGTTTCAGGTAAGTGAAAATGCAATAAATTATTGAGGAGTTCATGGCTTCAGTTAGAGCCATAGAGGAGGAGAGGTAGATAATGTTGGGTGTTGGTCAAACCTGCAGGGTTTGAAAACTGCACACATTTATGACAACCCATTATTCCTGATGCTACCGTACAGTCAATGGTAGTGAAATTACACATACACCCTCATGCATTGACCATGATTGGCATATTTTTTGGTAAATAATATATGATATCTACTATGGGTGAATGAGGATAAAAAAAAACCTATGAGTGAATCATAGTTTTGTATGACAGAGTGTTTTCGGGTTAAGCTCATTTTACATCTCGAAAGATCGTTCGAATTTTAATTTGTACCTTCAAAGATTAAAAATTTTAATTTGTACCTTCAAAGATAGAAATTTATATCAATATGCACTCCCAAAGATAAAAAATCTCAATTTACACCCTCAAAAATAAAAATTTATATCAATGTGCACCTAAAACTAATTGATAAATTATACCTAGATCCCCTCATGTTTGTCACTTAATCATTTGAATACCTTCACATTTAGAATATTACCCCTACATCTCATGACGTTTGTACATGTGTAACACATAACCACTTTTCATTGATATCTGTTAATATAATCGTTAAAAAATATGATTTTATTCTAATAAAAAATTATAATTTCATATTACCCTTTATTTTGTGGATTCGATATACTCTAAAATTCAAAATCAAACTTATCATTTGAATGTCTAATAGAATGTAGATATTTATATAAAATGTAATATGAAAAAATATTATATAAATATCTACATTTTATTAGACATTCAAATGGTAAGCTTGATTTTGAATTTTATAATATATTAGACACATAAAATAAAGGGTAATATGAAATTATTATTTTTTATTAGGATAAAATTATATTTTTTAACAGTTATATTAACAGATATCAATGAAAATAGGTTACATGTTATACGTGCACAAATGTCATGAGATGTATGATTAATATTCTAAATGTAAAGAGGTCCAAATGATTAAATGACAAACATTAGGGGATCTAAGTATAATTTATCAATTTAATTTTAGGTGCACATTGATACAAATTTCTATCTTTGAGGGTACAAATTGAGATTTTTAATCTTTGGGGGTGCACATTGATACAAATTTCTATCTTTGAGGGTAAAAATTAAGATTTTTTATCTTTAAGGGTGAAAATTAAGATTCGAATAATTTTTCAATATACAAAATGAGATTAACCGTATTAGTTAGTTCTCTTCATGAAGGCTTTACGCTGCTGGTATGAGATCCGGAGTACTCATTCATTGGAGGGACTTGATTAGGGTAACGAAGTAATAATTTCAATATCGTATATTTAATTTTTATTACTTTAATAGATATTTTTATAATTTTTATAGGTTATTTTATAATTAAAAAAATTATTATTTTTGTGAATGATTTATAATTTTTATAGATATTTTTCCTATTTTTGTAGGTATAGGATATAGCGTACAATGATAAGTCCATGCGAAGTTAATCATGTATGCTTGTGTGTGTAACTACTCTCCCTAATGATAGCTAGTGAACATTTGGACAGTCCCAAGAGGAAAAAAAAGTGATAATAGAAGCTCAGTCCAATTTAAGAGATTGATAAGGCTTAAAGTTCGAGTCATAAGCATATTTATCATTAAATTCTAAATTAGTATTTTTATTTGATAGTTAAGATTATTCTGAGTGTTTTTTTATTATTATTAAAACATTTTTACTGGTTGGTTTTAATGCCATAAGGAGCTTCCTAATTGATTTGAAGAGTAGTTTACAAATAGCTAAGTAGCCCACACACATAGCCAGTACCCAAAAAACCAACCCATGGGTCATGGGCTGGCTAAGTCCACGAAGGTATCTTTCAATTGGCCCATCAAATTCTGCGAATTGGTGGCTGGGCTGGCTCGGCTTGGTCCGTGGCCAACCCGAGCAGGGGAATCCTCTATTGGACAGGACCAATGTTGTTTCTCAAAATGAATTGATTGGGCAACCTTGACCAAGGCTTGAACACCAAAGTTGGAATGCAACTACTATGTTCCCACAATTTGGTTTCTATCCAACGTCAAGGATCTTTCTAATTGTTTTTGTCTTTGAATTTCAGACATTCGCAGGGTCTTGGATACTTTCAAACAACATGAAATGAATGGTTTTTAGATTTAAACAAGGTCTTATACACATTTGTAATTACTTCTATGGATGGGTACGTATCTCATATGTGGCTGTGTGTTCATTTCTTGGTTGCTGAAGCGTCAGACTCATCCGAAACAGACATGACCGGAAAGCTCGACTCTGATACAAAACGCCGTCGAGTCCAAGACATCGGATCAAGCATTGTACGTAGCGCTTCAGTATTAGCTCGAACGCTTCGCAACAGTGAGGAGAAGAAAGAGAAGCGACACCGCGATCTAATGGAGCTCGAAGAACGCAGACTTCACATCCAAGAAACACACAACGAAGTGAACCAGCAAGGAATTGCCAGTCTCATAGCAGCAGTAAACAACCTTTCGGGTGCCATTAAGTCCCTCATTTCGGACCAGCAAGACAGCAAATGACACTATTAGAATGTCAACTGCTTATTGAACCTAAAGCAATTCTTTTCACTTAATAATTTTTTTACTTATTCTAGTTGTTTTCTTAGTTTCATTGTGAATTGAACTGCAGTTGTGGAAAAAAGGTTTGCACAGAAATACTTTGGATTCTCTTTTCAATGGGTTGAGGAGATATAGAGAAAGACTACGTGTAACATAGTATCGTACCGAAATTTACATTTTTTGGAAGTTAAGTTATATTTTTTGAGGTAAAATTTGCAATAGGAAAACTCGTCATCAACCTAAATTTCATGATTGATCATAGAAGTGTCACAACCAATCAGAGGTTATTAATGATTGATCATGAAATGGAGTTATTTCAATCGATTATAACTTCATCTCAAAAAATAATAACTATTTTTTTTTTCGGTATCCTAAAATTACCTTTTGGTTGAGAACCTACTCAGGTTATATCGTAGTTAAAAGGGCTAATATGTCTTATAACTTACCAGAAAAAAATTGAATACAAGCAGATATTCTATCTAAGTTGAAGTATTTCTATCAGATATCCTATCTGATATGATATTTTGAGGGTATTTATCGAATTAGTATGGTGCGTATCTGATAAGAAATAAATATATGAATATTTTACGAATATTTCTATACAATAAATAGTATATATAAGTTTCAATTTTAATTTTTACCTCTTCATTCGAACTCACACAATATAATACAACAACAAAAATATATATGACTACAAAGGTAAAAGGGTGTTTTTACGTATTATCCACTATCAAATGTCAAAATAATATAAATAACCTAAAATAACTAAAAACTTGATTAACATTGTTGCCCAATTCTATCAAAAAAAAAATGTATGTTTAAAGCTGTTCATTATACTTTCATTCAATAATAAGTCACGCATTGTGTACGTAGGTGAAGGGCAACTTATGAATGGTGTGGGTCCATTGAGCAAAATTAACCTCTCTGATGGGTCAAGCTCAAATGGCCTAATCTATGTGAAAAGTTCAAATTTCAATTGAGGAGTCCAACCTCATAAAAGATCCATCAAGTCTAACATAGTTCAAGACCAATCAGACACTCTACTTAGTCACGTCATCAAGAGGGAGAGCATGGGAGTCTTACCTGCACCGTATAAAGAAACGATCCACCCTCACCTTATCTTTGACCGCATTTCATGGAGAGCTCCTCAACCACCTCACCCGTTGAGAAGAAGTCGTGAGCTCCACCAAAATGGTTGCTTAGTTGCTGAAAAATAGCTCCAACTTATTAGGGGACTACTATAAATTGTTGGGGGGCATCACTTTTTACCTGAGCACGACTCTCTCCTCTCCCTCAAAACTTGTATTTTCTGCTTCCCACACCCTTGAGTTAATAAAAGCCTTGGCGACCAGAGCCATTCAAGAGTGGACGTAGGTCGAGTTGACCGAACCACTATAAATTACTTGTGTCTCTCCATCTCCTTATATTATTTCTTGCATTTATTATTCACACTTGACAGATGGTGTGCAAAACCATTTTGTGCATCATCAGTTTGGCGTCATGTGTGAGAAAGCAACAAAATTCTCACTGCATTTGCTGAACCAATGACGATCACTACCAGATCTATGAACCAACACGAAGACAATCCACCACGAGAGGAGGAGGTTGCTCCTCTATCTACCAACCCTGTCCCAAATGCTTCAGCTCCAAATCCACAACAAATGCTAGAAACCATGTAGTAGCTGGTGGCCCAAAACCAGCAGATACTGCAACTCATGCTCACAGGACGAGGAGGAGCACAATTTGGAGGTGCACAGCATGGAGAACCCCAAGGAGCTCCACACCCTGCTGCACCATACCTGGGTGGGCTGGGGGCCCTCTTTGGAGTTCCCTTGGGTGCTCCACACAGGGGAGCCCCTCATGAGGAAGTTTCACCTCCTCCTCCTCCCCATGGTGAGAACCCTCATCTTCAGGAGGATGAGGGCGAGAGCCAAAACATGGAGCACATAAGTCATTTTCATGATCACTCCAAGGGACCCCCCCCAACCATTGGGACGAGAAGATCAAGGAAATGTAAAATCAATTGGGTAACGTCTTCAATGTCATGAAGACGCAAGGACCCAAGACAGTAGACTACCTGGTAAGGCGTACAGACACGCCCTTCAAGCCTGACGTGGCAAACTATCCCCTCCCTCAAAATTTCAAAATGACATTCATGGAGACCTTTGACAGAACAAAAGATCCACTAGACCATCTCGACACCTACAAGACTATGATGTAGCTACACAACGTCCCTGACGAAATCATGTGCAGGGAGTTCCCAACTACATTGAAGGGGTCCGCACGACAATGGTTCGCTAAGCTCCCCCCCAGTCTCCATCGCCTCCTTTGCTGAGCTAAGCAGGTCATTCGTATCACATTTCATTGGGGGGCGTCGTCACCAGAAGCCTGTCACCCATCTGCTTAGCATAAAGCAGGACCGGGAAGAGATCTTGAGGAGCTACCTCACTCATTTTAAAGAGGAGGTACTCTAAGTTGATGAGCCCGACGACAAAGTGACGATGACCGCCTTCTTGGGAGGCCTCCGCTCATCAAGCTTCCTCTTCTCAATGATGAAGCGCCCACCAAAGAGCATGCCAGAAATGTTAGCAAAGGCCCAGAAATACATGAATGTTGAGGACATCACAAGGACCAAACGGGGTGAGTCCTCTAGAACAGCTGGGGGAAAAGAGGAAGGAAAGGGAGACAGAAAATAAGAAGGAGACTAGCAACAAACGTGGCAGAACAGAGAGGGTTCCTGTCAAAGACCGGCTAGGTCCTGCTCCTCAGAGGGACCGACAAGCCTTCACTCCCCTCAACGTCGCTATCGGGCACATCCTATTCCAAATCCAAAATGACCCCACCATAAAGTGGCTAGGGAAGATGAAATCTCCTCCAAATCGTAGAAATCCTAACAAGTATTGTTGTTTCCACCGCGACCATGAGCATGACACCAACGATTACTATGACCTCAAAAGATAAATTGAGGAACTCATCTACCGTGGCCACCTACGCCAGTATGTTGCTGATAGAGAACGAGCACCACCACCTCATAATCAAGAAGACCAGCAGCCCGTTAGGGAGATCCACACCATCTCGGGAGGACTAGCAGGAGGTAGAGAATCACTTTCTGTAATGAAGGCCCACGCTAGAAAGGCAAGGCATCTCGACGAGATGCGCTCATCCAAAGTGCCAAAGTAGGGTGACAACGTGGTCATATCTTTCTCAGAGAAGGACCTAGAGGGAATACAACACTCCCATGACGACCCCCTGGTGCTCACCATGACCGTGGCCAATTTTCAGGTGCGTAGGATCCTAGTGGATAACGGCAGCTCTGCGGATATCCTATTCGCAGAGGCTTATGACAAGCTCAACTTGGGCAGGGAGAGACTGTAGCCTATCAGATCACCCCTCATTGGATTCTCAAGGGAAAAAGTATATCCCCTAGGGTCCATTACTCTACTTGTCACAGCTAGAGCAGCGCCCTGGAGCTCCATAGTCATGGTTAATTTCTTGGTCATAGACTGCCCATCAGCCTACAATATCATACTAGGGCAACCTGCTCTTAACACATTAAGAGTTGTGCCCTCCACTTATCACCGCATCCTTCGCTTTCCAACCACGAATGAAGTTGGAGAAGTCAGAGGAGATCAGGTAGCAGTAAGGGAGTGTTATGTCTCCTCTATGAAGACTAGGAAGCCACAGGACGCGTTGTAAGTTGAGGTCATTGATCCGAGGGATGACGCCACTATAGACAGAAGAGAACCAGTCGAGGAGCTCACCCCTATGGCCTTGGATGAGGAGCACCCAAACAGAAGAGTATACATCGGCTTTTCCCTTCTTAAGGACCTGGTTGGCCCACTAATAGACTTTTTGAGACGTAACATGGACGTCTTTACGTGGTCACATGCAGACCTTGAGGGAATTGACCCAGAAGTGGCCACACACCGTCTCAATGTAGACTCACGCCACAAGCCTGTTCGCCAAAAGTTAAAGAGCGCCTCCACTGAAAGGGCCCAAGCAATAGACAAAGAGGTGGGAAAGCTAATAGAGAACGGGGCCGTCAGAGAAGTAGCATATCCTGAGTGGCTCTCTAACGTAGTGATGGTCACTAAAACTAATAGAAAATGGCGTCTCTGCGTTGACTTTACAGAACTCAACAAGACGTGCCCGGAAGACAACTACCCGCTGCCACGGATCGACCTCCTTATCGATGCCACCACGAGGCATGAGTTGCTCACTTTCCTGGATGCTTACTCTAGGTATAACCAAATTTGCATGTATCCCCCAGACCAGGAGAAAACATCATTCATCACTCTGAAGGGAACCTATTGCTATAGGGTCATGTCCTTCGGACTAAAGAACGCAGGAGCAACCTACCAACGGTTGGTGAACAAGATGTTCCAGTCTCAGATCGAACGAACGATGGAGGTGTACGTGGATGACATACTGGTGAAAAGTCTCACAACAGTAGACCACATTGATCACCTCCAAGAAAATTTCAATGTCCTAAGGTCCTATCACATGAAGCTCAATCCTAAGAAGTGTGCCTCGGCGTAGGATCTGGAAAATTCTTGGGCTTTATGGTCAATCAGAGGAGAATTGAGGCGAACCCCGAGAAAATCAAGGCTATCCTCGACATGAAGTCACCTTCCTCGACCAAGGAGCTCTAGTGCCTTAATGGAAGAATCGCTGCACTCAATAGGTTCGTTTCCAAATTTGCAGACAAATGTCTACCTTTCTTCAAGATTCTCCGGAAGGCTTTTGAGTGGGAACCTGAGGCAGAGGAGGCCTTCCAAAGGCTCAAGGTCTACCTAGACACACCTCCCCTCCTATCACATGCCACTCCAGGAGAAACTCTTCATCTTCATCTTTCTGCTTCCTTATCAGCAGTAAGCTCAATACTCATCAAAAATGATAATGGAGTGCAGAAGCCAATTTATTACGTAAATAGGACATACCGGGGGGCAAAGATCAGATAT